CCTAATGTTTATGCGGATGACCTTAGCAAAGAATATCAAGTCTACTATCCCTAAAACTGAGAATGCTAAGGAATATATGAAGTCTGTCTTATACAAATTAAAGCTTGATAACCTCTTTGCCGAGACTCTTTTGACCTTGCATCATAATATTGGTACTAAACGTGGTTTACTGAATGAACGGTCTGCTAACTTGTGGCATAAACGTTTGGGTCACATATCCAAGAAAATGATGGAAAGATTAGTAAAGAATGAAATTCTTCATAACTTGGATTTTTGTGGTCTTGGAATTTGTGTGGATTGTATTAAGGGTAAACAATCCAAACACACAAGAAGTACATAGCTTCTTGAGATAATACACACCGATATATGTGGGCCTTTTGATGTTTCATCATTTGGTGGAGAAAAGTATTTTATCACCTTTATTGATGATTTTTCACGTTATGGCTATGTTTATTTGCTGCATGAAAAGTCTCAAGCTGTAAATGCTTTAGAGATTTTTGTCAATGAAGTTGAACGGCAATTAGACAGAAAGGTGAAAATTATTAGATCTGATAGAGGTGGTGAATATTATGGAAAATATGATGAAACTGGACAACACCCTGGTCCATTTGCTAAATTTCTTGAAAGACATGGCATATGTTCTCAATACACTATGCCAGGCACACCACAACAAAATGGTGTGGCTGAAAGGCGTAATCGTACTCTAATAGAAATGGTTAGGTGTATGTTGAGCAATTCATCTTTACCTATTTCCTTGTGGATGTTTGCATTAAAGACTGCCATGTATCTACAAAACAAGGTTCCTAGTAAGGCAGTTCCAAAGACTCCTTTTGAACTGTGGACGGGAAGGAAACCCAGTTTAAGGCACCTGCATGTTTGGGGTTGCCCGGCAGAAGCAAGAATTTATAATCCACATGAAAAGAAGCTGGACTCAAGAACAATCAGTGGATTTTTCATTGGTTATCCAGAAAAATCAAAGGGGTATAGATTTTATTATCCTAATCATAGTACTAAAGTTGTTGAAACTGGAAATGCTAGGTTCATTGAGAATGGTGAAGTTAGTGGGAGTTTGGAACCACGAAATGTGGAAATACAAGAAGTTAGAGTTCAAGTTTCTCTACCCTCAACTTCTTCTAATGTTGTTGTTCCTCAAATTGTTGGACAGCATAACAATTTACCTGAACAACAAATAAATGAACAAACACCCCACAATGAAGTTGCTACTAATGAACCTGCATTAAATGAACCACAAGAAATAGCATTAAGAAGGTCACAAAGACAACGTAGACCTCCTATTTCTAATGATTATGTGGTTTACCTACAAGAGTCTAAATTTGACTTGGGAATTATTGATGATGATCCAGTTTCATTTTCACATGCCATTGAGAGCGCCAATTCTGATAAGTGGTTAGATGCTATGAAAGATGAGTTAAAATCTATGGAGCATAATGAAGTCTGGGATCTCATCGAATTACCAGAATCATGTAAAAGAGTTGGGTGTAAATGGGTCTTTAAGACCAAGCGCGACTCTAATGGTAATATCGAACGATATAAAGCTAGACTAGTTGCCAAAGGTTTTACTCAGAAAAGTGGCATTGATTATAAGGAGACATTTTCGCCAGTCTCCAAGAAAGACTCACTCAGAATTATAATGGCTTTAGTAGCTCATTATGACTTAGAGCTACATCAAATGGATGTGAAAACCGCCTTTCTAAATGGAAATTTAGATGAAGAAGTTTATATGGATCAGCCTGAAGGTTTTTCAGTTAAAGGAAAGGAACACATGGTGTGTAAGTTAAAGAAATCAATATACGGACTTAAACAGGCTTCCCGTCAATGGTATCTTAAGTTCAACGATATCATTATTTCTTTTGGATTTAAGGAAAACATCGTTGACCGATGTATATATCTAAAGGTCAGTGGGAGCAAGTTTATATTTTTGATTCTGTATGTTGATGATTTCTTGCTAGCTACTAATGATCTTGGTCTATTACACGAGACTAAGAAATTTTTCTCTAAAAATTTTGAAATGAAAGAAATGGGAGAGGCAGCCTATGTGATTGGAATTGAAATATTCCGTGACAGGTCACAAGGATTGTTAGGGTTGTCTCAGAAAGCATATATCAATAAAATTTTAGAGAGATTTAAAATGGAAAATTGTTCAGCGAGTGTCGTTCCAATTCAGAAAGGAGACAAATTTAGTCTCATGCAATGTCCTAAGAACGACTTGGAACGCAAACAAATGTCAGCTATTCCTTATGCATCTCTTGTTGGGAGCCTAATGTATGCTCAGACTTGCACCAGGCCAAACACAAGTTTTACTGTCGGAATGCTGGGCAAGTATCAAAGTAATCCAGGATTTGATCATTGGAAAGCTGCAAAGAAAGTATTGA